AGACTGGCGGAAAAACATTTAACTGAGAACAACTTTTTAACCGCAGTACTTTAATGACCATTTCAGAAAAGGTTGTTCAAAACAATCATTTCTAGCGAGGTTAAGAAGGCTCCTTTGGTGCATCATAATCCCGTGAATGATCACGCACCAATTTTCGTTACTACTCCAAGGCTCAGTTTTTGAATTTGCACAGCGTATTACACAGTAAAGTTTAAGTTAGCATTTAAACCTGATTTACGAAGAATAATATTAGTTACAGTTTCTCCAAGTCGGTCAATCCGTAAAATATGTTGCGGGGTAGCTTCTCGAGCTGGTTGCCGACCAAACGCCTAGGGTTTTAATAACAGAAACAGTCAACTTTCGTTTTCAAACTAGCCGATGAGAAATTGGCAAAGTCAAGAAACGCTAAAAATTAGGCTTTAAACTGTCCATTTCAAGTAAATTTTCTGAAAAAGTGTGAACACGAGAAACCGGGCAAAAAAATTTAACGGTAAGGCCAAATCGCTTGAGTTCCTTCCCATCCGTTCTCATACTCCATTTGACTCTAGACCTATTCGTAAGTTGGTGATCACTGAGGAATGTTTCTAAGAAAAAAATAATTTCTGAGTGCAATTCAGAGACTCTTAGGGCGCTTTCCATTTGTTATAACTGGCCGGTCGGACTAGTACGTCCGTAAATGAAACGCACCAGTTCTGAGAGCTGTTAGAACTGGTTCTGGCCAAAGTGGCCCTGCTAATGGACGAGGGCCCCTCAGTTCTCTCGGTCCTGCGCTGAACGCGGGAAGTGCACGGGAATTCTACGCATTGAAAATTGGCGGCAGGTTGATCGCAAACTCGTGGTGAGTATAGTATTTTATCCATTGTTTTGATTGAAAACAGGATTAATTGCTTTCCCTAAAATGCCTTAAAGAGGTCGTCAAAGAGCACCAAACTATTGATTTCCCTACGACGGGAAAAAAACCGACTTCTTCGACAAAGACAAATTATGAAAGAAAGCTGCATGGGATAAAGTTGGAGAGCAATTCAACACCAAGTCGTCAGTGAGAGTTACAGGAGAACAGTGGTCAAACAAATGGAAAAAATTAGAGGAAAAGTACAAAAAAGTAAGAGGGTACAACGCCAAAACGGGAAATGACATCGAGGAATGTGAATTTAATGACAAGCTATCATTTCTTTTCAGTAGTGACCCGAAGATTATTTCACCGGCGACTGTTTCCTCGTTGGTTACAGGAAGCACTGGTTCTACATCCACGGATGAAGACGAGGAATCGTCCTTGGCAAAAGCGGTTCCAAAGAAAAAAAGGAAACGGAGGTCGAAGTCATCGGCCGCGAGGGTAATTAATTTTCTGACGGAATGCAAAGAAGAAAAGAATGCACGAGGAGAAAATGGGTGTTATGGCTAGATTCCTGGACATTCTGTCAAAGAAGGAAGCCTAAAATATAAAGCTGAGAAACAATTTGCAGCAATGGTTTGAGACGGCAGCCTAGCAACCTTATCTTTTTTCTGTCAATCAAACAAGCAAGCATTGAGGAATAATCGGCTTTCGTTTTCCCCGTTTATTGGTTTTCTCCTCGTGTTGTTAAGTATTTATTGAACAAACCACTTTACAGACTATTTCCACTCGCGAAAATTTCTCTTGTATACCCGTGGAGCAGGAAAGCGCCTAAATATCTTGGCTATTTTCTGATCGAAAGTGTAAAAGGTGTCAAAGGTTAACCCGCGCAGTGCGACTTCCAAACTTTGAGCATTTCGGCTCGTTATTTGTTGGCATACTATTATACAAGGGAAGCCTTGTTCGAGAAATTTTTGTTTTACCCAGTTTGAAAGTACTTGATAGAGGCTTAAGTTCTGAACAATTATAATATTAACTTATAAGATCCAAGTGCTTGTATTTCTTGTTTGTCAGCGTTTAGTTACCTGACCTACGGTTCTACA